CAACAAGCTGAAGTGCCAAGTCCTGCCCTTGGGTCACAACAAGCCCGTGCAGCACTACAGGCTTGGGGAAGAGAGGCTGGAAAGCTGCCCAGTGGAAGAGGACATGGAGGTCCTAGTTGACAGTGGCTGAACATGAGCCAGCAGTGTGCCCAGGTGGCGCACGCTGCCAAGGCCATCCTGCCTTGTATCACAAATAGTGTGGCCAGCAGGACCCAGCAGTGATTGTCCTTCTGTAGTCGGCACTGGTGAGGTAACACCTTGAATCCAGCACTCAGTTTGGACCCTTCACTACAAGAAAGACATTGAGGTGCTGGAGCGAGTCCAGAGCAGGGCAGCAAACCTGGTGAAGGCTCTGGAGCACAAGTCATATGAGAAGCAGTTGAAGGAGCTAGGGTTTTTTAGCCTGGAGAAAAGGAGGCTAAAAGGGAGACCTTATCAGTCTCTATAAATACTTGAAAGGAGGTTCTAACAAGGTGGTGGTCAGCAACTTCTCCCAGGCAACTTGAGGTGCTGGAGCGAGTCCAGAGCAGGGCAGCAAACCTGGTGAAGGCTCTGGAGCACAAGTCATATGAGAAGCAGTTGAAGGAGCTAGGGTTTTTTAGCCTGGAGAAAAGGAGGCTAAAAGGGAGACCTTATCAGTCTCTATAAATACTTGAAAGGAGGTTCTAACAAGGTGGTGGTCAGCAACTTCTCCCAGGCAACTAAAAAGGGCCTCAAGTTGTTTGGACCCTTCACTACAAGAAAGACATTGAGGTGCTGGAGCGAGTCCAGAGCAGGGCAGCAAACCTGGTGAAGGCTCTGGAGCACAAGTCATATGAGAAGCAGTTGAAGGAGCTAGGGTTTTTTAGCCTGGAGAAAAGGAGGCTAAAAGGGAGACCTTATCAGTCTCTATAAATACTTGAAAGGAGGTTCTAACAAGGTGGTGGTCAGCAACTTCTCCCAGGCAACTAAAAAGGAAATGGCCTCAAGTTGTGCCAGGGAAAGTTTAGACTGGATATCAGGAAATTTTTTTCACAGAAATGGTTGTCAAAGATTGGAACAGGATTTGCAGGGAAGTTGTGGAGTCACCATCCCTTGAGGTCTTTAAAAGACATGTAGATGTGGCACTCAGAGACATGGTGTAGTGGTGGACTTGGACAAGGTTTACATTTGGACCTGATCTTAAAGGTCCTTTCCAACCTAAAAGATCCTATGATTCCTTATGAATATAACATAGATCAGTAAAGCATGTAAATTATCTGCTTCATTTTGAACATCTTTAAATCTCACCATTTCCAAGTAACATATATGCACATGCTTAAAATGTGCTTAACTTCTTTGCTTAAACAAGGGGTTTGTTGTCAAAAGATTATTTGCCACAGAATAAGTATGTTAATAAGACCAGGCTGTATTATCACAGCACTATAAAATAAAAGTCTTGATCCCTAATGTATCTTAAATTTGAAACAAAGCCTTTATTTACCTATCCCTCCAAATACTCTTCATCTTAGTGGCACTAAAGACATTCTGTTCCAGAGTTTCTGGTTTTTAGGTACATTTAAAACTCTAAACTGTACAGTTGTTATATTAGCCTAGTTTTCAAGAATCATCCAGGGAAAAAAAACACCTTCATGTAGAACTTACACTTTCAGTTCCTTAACATCTGGGTTACTTTCTGGTAAGACTCCTATTCCTCGACCGTAACCGGTGCCACCATGAAGATGAAATTCTATATGTGAGACATCCTCGCTGTCAGCACTTGCTTGTTTCGTGTGAAGACTGTAAATTCTCAGAAAACTTCCAATCTGAAAGAAAGAAAACAAACTTTGATAACACAAGATTAGCTATTTATGGGGAAAATTCTAGGCCTAGTAAAGTTTCTTCCCTGTTTTAACTGAAACACATAACAGCTGGAATTATCAGAGACCTCTGGAGATTGCTTCGTTGAATCCCTGTGCCCAATGCAGAGCAAACTAGAGCAGGTTTCTTAGGGTTGCCTCCAGCTGGGTTTTGAATATTTTCAAATATGGAGAGTGCAAAAGCTCTCTGGGTGACCTGTTTGTTTTGCTTTATCAGACATTACTGGCAGCAAAGGATGATTCAGAACCAGCATAAGCCTTCTTAGGAAATCTAATTCACAAACAGACTTCAGAAGACAGATCAAACGAGTCAATATATTCTTTTCCTGAGGGCACAATTTGTCTTCCATACTTGCAGCACAGCCCTTCAGAGACTGACACCCTGTGATCTGTCCATGTATGAACACATTCAGCAATTGACCTCATGCCCATCATCATGAACGGCTTATAATCTGTTTATGTGTACATACAAATGTATCTGCTTACTCAGATTTCTTTATCATATCTTACTCTTACATTACATATAGGTTTTTTTTGGCACCAGCACGTGTTAGAAATGGAAAGATTTTGGCACTTTTCGTAACTCTGTTAGATTTTCTTCTCAAGTACACGGAGAATATGCTTATTGTTTTGGGCAGAATTATTTTGTGGCAAGCTACACACATTCAAAAAATCTGGATTTATATTCATTCTAAGTATCTTTTAAATAGCCTGATACAAATGATAAACTATTTCAAATTTACTTCAATTGAAATTAATATTACAGCAGTAGTATCAGTATATTATATAGTACTAAATATTATTGTGTGTATATATATAGTATATATTAGCAGTAAAATCAGCATAACATATTGGCAGCAATATTAGTATAACAGTCAGTCTGTTAAGTCCTATTTCAGCTTCAGCTCCCACTTTAACCAGTAGAAACCTATAAAAGATTCCTATTAGATTGGATTAGTCAGGTCTTACTACAACACTTATGTGTGTGTATATATATGCACAAAAGCAGATGGAACAGCAACCTGTGTTTAGAATCCTCGTCTGTATTAAGGATTCAAACTGTTCTTTTAAACAATAATCACACATGAAAAAGGGAGCATATTGTCCAATTCAGGAAGCAGGGACATAAAAAGTGCACTTCAGACTGCACCTATTTTGCTTCTGGCAGGGAGTGCTTACCAGAGTTTTAACTGATCTGCACTGTTAGGGGGCTGCTTGTTTTATTCATTCAAAGCATCGCCAGGACAGCTTGTGCATTTAGATGGCAGTTAACAGGCTTATCCAGAGGCTCTGGTTTTTATCTTTCCTGATGCTGGTTTCACTTAATTATGTTGGCTATCCAAAAATGCAAGGGACACTCATATTATAAAACTAATATAATGACTATGACAAATACTTTCAGAGGAAGTTTTTTTTAAAAGGTTCTTGGCTAAGTTCACCCTACGAAATAACCATATGTGAATAACACAGTACAAACTACTTTCTCCCCCACCCCCAGAATAATTTGCTTACAAGCAGGAAAAAGTTGATTATAATCAATAAATTTCTTTCAAGAAGAATGTATGAAAAAACTAAGTATTTTCTCTATGTGCAAATGTAAAAAATTAAACATGGGAGAGGAGAGCTCAGAAGCCAAGAACACAAAATTCTCAGTCTGCCTTCTAAACTTGGGCCCTGAAACTCATGCAAAAGTCAACTGAACTACGTTTTAGTGCAACACTCACTTGGCATGATATATCCTCACTGTAAAACAATCTGCCTATACATGCATTTGTAAGATTATTTCCTGGAAATGTTATAATTTTGTATATTTTAATATCACTTAGAACTATAATAAAGAGATGCATTATAATTAGCATTGCCAAAACCTGGAAAGGTCTGTCAGGTTCTGAGGCTGTGTGGACAGAGTGCTGTTTCCATGGATTCCTTCGGGAGGCAGCCTTGCTTACCGTTAACAACAGCGAGCAAATTTTCCTGTCCTGCTGTTTACAGAACGCCTGCAGACAGAGCACTTTATATACTTGACTGAGAAGAAATTATAATCTACATTAAAGTAAACACCATGATTTATAGAGCCATCACTAAAATCTAGTACAAAACCAGCTCCTTACTTGACTTTATAGCAGTTCTATTTATGAACCTCATTTAGAGCAAGTTCATTTAAAATGAAATTAAAGTCCTGCTGTTTACAGAACGCCTGCAGACAGAGCACTTTATATACTTGACTGAGAAGAAATTATAATCTACATTAAAGTAAACACCATGATTTATAGAGCCATCACTAAAATCTAGTACAAAACCAGCTCCTTACTTGACTTTATAGCAGTTCTATTTATGAACCTCATTTAGAGCAAGTTCATTTAAAATGAAATTAAAGCAGTATAAAAACATTTCTTGCAGCAATATAAAATATACTAATGCAGCCCAATTCAAATATGACTATTATAAATATACATATTAAGGCTAGAGAGAATTAAAACGCAGAAGTCACATATGCAATTTCCTGTAACTATCCGGCTAAAAACTTTTTAGCATAGGAAATTCTCATGATTATTTCAAAGTGTATAGGGTTGTGTTCACATTCACACTGATGAATTCAGAACAGCCACTTGTCATGGCAACAGCCACTTGTCATGGCAGGTAAATGATCATCTTTGTCCAGAAAGGCACTCAGGATAAGATGTCTTTATTGACAGGAATCACTTAAATTCATCTGTTCTTATTTTTATGCCTATTTTTATGGCTAATAATATTCAATGATAATTCTTCGTCATCATTTTTATCATATCCACAGTCTAATTCTACTGATTAAACAATGCACAAGTCTTTGCAAATTGGAGGAAGCATCTACACAGCTTGTGGGCATGGTCCTTTGCAGTAACAAGTACCAGCTTAAACCCATTTAAGAAGACTATGGGGTGGGGTGAGAGGGCACTGGTCTTTTGCATTTTTCCCCATTTTAATGAGTAAAAAGACAAAAGTGGAGAAAATACTAGTGACAGGGTATGTCTACGCAATGCTACCTGGGTCTGAAAAAAGTTGCAGGTTGAAAATGTGACTCTGGCACTAGAAAAGCAAGACTTTTCAGTTTAAACTACTATCAAAAAAGACATGACATTGGATATGGTGGAAGAAACAGCCCAAAATACACACATTCTGCATCTGAAGATATATAACAAAGCAAATACTGTGAAACTACAGACTAGGATTGTATGTAATGCTCAGGGTTAACAGTTTTAATTGTACTTCACAGAAAACACTTGGCAACAGAAAACTGATGGTATCAAGCCATATTCAATGAATGACAGTACATAAGGAAATCTCTGACCAGCTGTGGGCAGCTGGACCCCCTACTGTGCAGAGACTGACCACTGATGCTCACTCAGCTCCATACTTACCATCTAAGCAAAATGCCCCAGATGGAGAAACTCATGTCACAGACCTATTCCCAAATTGTATGGCAAAGACAGTGAATCCTGAGACCATCTGGAAACACTAGGATAAGAATGTCTGAAGAATAGCAATGTACAACCTAAGGGTAGCAACTGTTTCCCAGGCAGTTGGTTGTAGACTGAGGTTCCTGAGTAATGAGAAAGCCTCATGCACTGCAGGTAGCCAGAGGAAAAAGGGAAATTCAAGAAAAAGCAGTGAACATAATTTTCTTTGCTTAGCTCTTGCTTGTGTCTTTATGCCCCAGGAAGTAATCTATTTCAGAGATGAGATTTCTGGAAAGTCTTTTTGTGTTCTGTTATGGCACCAAACACTGAAAAGCCACAATCCTACGCAGCAGGAAAGAGAGTCCAGTAAATACAGAGAACAAAAAGTCTGCTTACAGTATCAACTGTAACATATGTTCAATGTTACCAAAGTTCTCTCCATTGAAAACTGTAAGTATTACACAAATGTCTCAGAAAATGGGATAAAATGCTCCTACCTTCTGTGTTCTCTGGACAGACAATCCAAACAAGAAGTTTTTAACAAACTCTCACAGAGCAGTATCCCTGGCACTGTGCTCCAGGATTTGCAAAAAATTCACTGTAATACACTACCCACTTTCCCTAGCATGTAGTGCTTACTCAGTGCCTCCTTGCCTGAACATGTGCCTACAGATACAATTTTAAAATAAAACATATAGTTCAGGGTTGTTTTTTTCAATCTGCCTTTCTTGTTATCAAGGCTGTGATTCAATTCCTGAATATAAATGGGGGAGAGTAGTAAAGGGGAGTATCACCAGCTATTCAAGAAAATATGTTTTAGTAATATTAAAATGCTTTTCCCCCTAATTTTCAAAACTTATTGTTTCGCTGGAACATCTGCAATCATTTATCAATAGATTACACCAGTTAGCAGGAGAAAAATTCTGGAAGAGAACTTGCAAGCAATTAAATACTTCTGCAAGTTTTGCTATGAATTCTTACACAAATGTCTACACTTCTTTTGTCATCTGCCATTTACTTATCAATGGGCATTAATTTATCAGATTGATTTCATGGCTGCTGATAGCCCCAACCTAACAAATGGTTATCCCTTCTCTTTATTTCCTGTTAAATGTTTTCTTAGAAAAGATCTTGGGTATGAAATGAAAGGTGCATTCTTTGCTAGTTTCTTGTGTTCAGAAGCAAGATGGCAGTATTGCTGAAGATCCAATGTTTAATTACTTTGTTGTTTTCTCTAAGCATAATCAACATTACTGACCCACTAAATGAAGATTGCACTGCAAACTGCACACGTTACAGGATAGAAAATCTTCTATTGACTTTAGAATTAAGGGTGTTTAATGGGACTACAAGTTTAACCCCATGTTTTATCTTTTACAAATAATTCTAAAGCATAGAATAGATTTCCTGAATGCTTTACTTTCACGGGATTATGTTATTATATATTACAATGTCTGAAAGAACTTAATTGGAAGAATTTTTTCATGGCAGTTTTCGGGTAATGAGGCTGTTTAACAGATGTTGAAGGAGTTTTGCATTCAAATAGAAGGTATGGGAAATACAGTGAAAGATAAAGAGAAACATGAAACTAATTACAGGAGAACTAAATTGATACATTATCTGAAGTCACTTCTAAGCAGAAATAGGCCACAAAAAGAAGAGTTAGACATGCATTACCTTAAGTGATTTTGCTAGTTGTACATGGTTATCATAGACCAGAATGTCCACTGTTAGATTTCTCAGCTGATGAAGAAGAGCTTTCTCTCCTTCCAGGTCTTCTGCTTCCACAGGCACCTTCCATGTTGGATAGGGACATTTTGTGCCATCCCATACCTGCAATGCAAATGAATTATTTAAATATGCTCAGAATAATTCAGATTAAGATTTTTATAGCTTTTCTTTTAAAAAAAATTTTTGTTTTATTAAAAATTGTTAACAATAAGAAAAAATAGTTGGAGTCTCAGTCTAAAGGTCCTTAAAATACTTAAATTACACTTAATGGGATTTTTTTTAACTATTATTCCTTACAGAGCACAAAATAACCTCTGTAGAGAATATGACTGAGTGATAAGACTTGGAATTTGTTAATATCTTAAAAAGAAATCAGCTCCAGCAAAACCTCAACTATTTGTCCACCAGTTTCAACTATTAGAATTCATTATATGCAGAACTGTCTATACTTAATATTTTAATCCTGCTATAGGGATTTTTAACCTCTCCAGCTACAGTATGTTTATACTGAGTACAAACCATATAGTGACTGATGATCTCCTATACCAGTTATCCAGAACATATTCTAACATCAGAACTTAACATATACTCGTTAAAAAGAATTCTAAACATTGTTTGCCTAAAGCTAAATCCTTGATGCACTCCAAGTACTGAAATATGAACAGTTATTTTTGAGCTATCAAGTTACTGTGAAAAACTAAGTTTACCAACAGGCTTAGCACTTCGGAACCAAAATCTTACTACTTAAACCAAACACGAAACTTTCAGTGACAGCTGCTTATGACATATTCCGTAACTATGTTTTCCTGAGTTTCTGAAGACACACTCCTCTCAAAGACAACAAAAATAATGGGCTGAAATACTATCATTGTAAAAGAAAAACCGAGGGGTATTTGGACTATAATTCTGAATGCTGCATTTCACAGGACTTCAGGCATGTGGATCCAAGGTGCTTTGGTCCATGAATTAGGCATTGTGGAGGGTGAGGAAAAAAACCAAACTGCACCAAAGCATAATTTTTAAAGCATTTCTACTCCTTATGTTGAACTGCTATGGATCAACAGACCCACAGGAAAAGATCCAAGAATCAGCAAAGCCATGTATAAATACACTGAGAATAACTCATGGTTGGAATACTCATCCAAAATCAAGAGATAAAAGGGAAAACTGTTCACAGTGAAAATGACCCATAACATCAAATTAATGTTGCCAAATACAAGTGAATTCTGAAGGATCCAGATAATGAGGTGGTGTATGCTGCCACAGATTAAAAAAAGCCTATTATCTTCTGATCCTTCACCATGAAATACTTAAAACCACCTTAGAAAGAGAGGTTGCCTATTGCTTGAATTATCAAATATTTTCCAGAACTGATCTTGAGAAACACAGATTTAGTGCATAGATATTACGAATTTAATCACTTTGACAGAATATAGAACCCTAAATTTGTCACGTCTTCCATTATTTTTCGACTGGCTTTACTTGGGACACTTCGGTAGTTCTACACTGAAGAGATGGATCTGCCAAATGGATTGAAGTAACCTGAAGTTCAGATAAAAGGATGACAACTTCACTTTCAAATGTCCTTCACTAGAGGAACTAATGGGGCTTAGCACCAGGGCATCTTTCAGAGGAGTTTATAAGCCAGTAACCTTCCTTTCTAAGAAAGAAAATAAATTCCTAGGAAAAGTAATTGGTTTCTTTGGTATTTTTCTTGCACAAATATGAAAATAGATCAAGCTCTCTACCTCAGGAGCTTGGCAGCTTCACTTTACACAAATTATGGATGAAAACACCCTGGTTTCAAGTTGTCCTGGTTTCAAAAATCAACACTGGACTAAAACCTAACACTGGCTAAATTAATTCTGGGTAAGAAACAACTAATTATTCTATTAGTAGCCATGAGCAGACTGAAGCTAAGAAATTAGCAATAACCTTTGATCACCATGGCTGGCAACACACTGAAATAGAAGAGACACAATAATAGCTTACTCTGCTGAAGAGAAAAACAGGTAAGTCATACAATGAGCATAATGTAGACAATTTAACTGACAGACAGGAGAGAGAAAAGAATAATAGTAAAACTTATAAAAGGCATAAATGACAGAATAATTTCTAGTGTGACTTTTTTAGTCTCCATCAGTTTGAATAACAAAATTCTCATAAAATGGCAAACACTAGCAAGTCAGTGGCTTCTTTTTGCCATGTCCATCTCAGCTGCTGTGCATACCACGATTAATTTATCAAGTGTAAGTTAAAGGTTATGCTACAAGTGATGCACAAAATCACTGAAATTCATTTAAGCTGTCTTTGAAGCAATACCTTGATGCTTAAAATATCCATGATATTTCATAGTATGATCAACAATTAATATAACTGATACGCTTGGACTAACATGACAAATTTAAATTAATATGAAATGTATAACCAAAATAATATAATTATAATATTTAATGACCACTTCATTTGAGCTGATATTGAACTGGTTTGGTTTTTTTATTTTTTTTGTTTAGCAAATTGACAAAATAATCAAGAGATCTGTCTACAAATTTAAAAAAAAGCTTCTATCACAACCAATATTTCATATGAGAAAGGGATTTTGCCATTGTTGAAAAGTGGAGGAAATTGGGAACAGCATGTCAATGTTAATGTAGCATTTTTAAGCTTGTCTGATGCATTTTAATATGGATTTAAGCACTTAACATTTTATAATGCTAAAATATATATACTGTCAAAGCAATTATGTATGAGAAAAATTGAACTATCATTATTTGATTTCAGACTTTTACCTTCCCAAGCCTATCTTAAGATTTCCCCCTCAAGTCATTACCTGTACTCTACAAAAGTGACAAAACCAACTTTGGCTCTTACAACACATAAAAGCACGTAAAGAAATATTAATAATATAAGAAAGCACTTGTCTCTGTCCTTGCGAATGGTCCTTCCATGCTGAATATACACTTTTTAACAAACAATTTAATTACAGTCCACAAAGTTCTGAAATTTTACTGGGTCTCATTTGACATCTATTTCACAAGGGATAATTCTGTGGAAGTGTTTGTAACAGCTGCAGAGCATGTTACAGCATACACTAAAGGTTTCCTTCTGTGTAGTGCATGCACTGCTTTGTATGAGAAAAGTCTTTGCTGCTCTAATGAAGGAATAATGCCAAGTGCTACTTCTAACAATATTGTAACAATACAGTTTAATACAGAAGAACCAATAAATAATTTTAGAAAGTCATAAAGTGGAAAATAACAGCTTGATCATCACTCATGTTTTAATAATCAACTTAAAAAATAAAGAAAAAGACATATAGAGAAGTTTCAAAATAGCACCAGACTGATACATCTGGAGCTAAAACCAGCAATACTATGCAAACCTCCTTTTCATTCAGCTATTGTTAAGCATCACCCTTGGAAATTACTCTCCTCTTGTGTGGTACTTTGCGTTTTGTATTTTCGGTGAGCACTGATGCCCAAAGTGCTAATGTATAACTAAGAGAAGCTACCTAAAATCCATCAAGATAGAGAACATAATCCATTCATTTACTTTTAATTAGTGCTACTTACTGCCCAAATCATATCCAGCAGATCTAGAAAAACAAGCAATAAGTGCTGCTAACTAAAAAACAAGGATAAAGTTTAAAATTAACAACATTTTTCAAGGTTAGAAAATCTTGCAATGTTTATCTACAAATGTTTGTGAAACAGTGATCTATACAATGCCATCTTAGAAAGGCCTAAACCTCTCTAAAATAAAAACAAATCAAGGAACAACTTCAAAGAGAACTATGATTTCTGCTTTGTTTTTTCAGAAATAAAATGGAAATGGATCACAAATTTCCTTAACCTCAAAATATTTATCTATGTAACATTATTTAAATCAATTAATGTCTGCTCTGTAACAAATTATTAAAAAAAAATACGTCTACCTTTAGAAGAAAAGAAGATCCATCCACTTTTGCTTTTCCTACCAGCTGGCAAGTGAGATCAAAGTACAGCATTGGCTGAACACAAGACAATTTTGCTGCTGGTCCAGAGATGGAAATATTACTGGCTGCCCAAAGACGCAATTCTTCTATGGTTTTCTGTTCTTCATCCATGAAAGTGTACACCTTACTCGAAGTTCGAGGAACTATTGGCGCTCCTGCATTTCCATCAAATGTCAAGGATGCAAATCCCCCACTGGTAATTCCCTGCATCTGTCCATTGTATTCCCTGATCTGTAACAAAATATGAATGAAAACAAAAAAGTTTGCACTGCATGTTAATACAAATGTATTTCTGCTTTATCATGTGCATGAAGAATGGACCATTGACCCTGGTGCTATTGGGAAAAAGGAGTAAAAATAAGAACAGAACAAAAAATTTAAATTAGCATTAATAACAAAAACCAAATGAATATAATAAATATAATCTCACAAAAAAAATGCTTTGAGCATTCAGGAGGTTGTGCTCAAACATACTGTACTTGACATCTCCCAGTACCCTCGTTAAGTGCATTTGAAATCAGTCCTAATGCAGGAAAAGGCAATTATAAAATAAGAAAAGAAATAAAAATACGTAAGAAGGTAAACCTCAACTGTCATGATGCAAAAATTACCCAGGATCTTGAAGCAAACCCAAATGTCCTTAGGCACAGGCATGTGGAGAAGCCACTGAGTGCTCTCAAAGGTAAAAAGAACGCAACAATATTATTTAGTGAACAAGAGAAGAAAGAGGAGAAGTAAATGTAGAACAGGCTATAGAACAAAGTATTTCACAGCTGGAAAATTACTTATGTCAGACCCACAGAACAGCTGATGGTCAACAGAAATTCTCTGGGCTCGTCCTTTAGAAACAAATCATTGCTAAAGTGATGAGGGATCACTGGAGAGCAAAAAGAACAAAATCCATGGGCAAATACTGTTTCATTATGGCATTCTACGTAGATCTCAGATCCAATTTAAGCATTGGCACTGTAAACTAGTTCTATTTTCCACAAAAATTATTTTGAAATTGAATTAAACTTAGAGAAAAGAGCCAATCTGAGACTTTTGTCTATGATGACAATTCCCCCTCAGTAGGTTTTATGTTATTTCTAGAGGCCTTGGAGAATTTCTTTAAAAAATTGGTGGGAAAGGGTGCTGGGGGAAGAACAGGGAGGTGGGGCAGATAGCTGTAACTCAAAAATTTTCCTGAGAATTTTAAATCATATCAACAAATAATGGTTGCTAAACAAAAATATCCTCCAGGACAAAAATGGAGCAGATGAAATGCATTTGACTTGTACTAAGCAAGCAAGTAAATTGTAATACATATTGCAGGAGTCTTTGGCATAGTTTTTGTAAACTATGAACAATAGGTGAAATCTCACCTTAAACTGCATGGACAATAAACTGCAGTGATTTCTATGGATATGGTTACTGAAAAGAATCTAATCTTAAAATACTTATAAATGGATTTACAGCAACCTAAAACACCTGAATGAGGTGGGTTTTTTACTTGAACTGGTGTTATTTATCTCACTGAATGGAAAAATATGATAGCAAGCAGAGTATAAAGCTGGAATAATAGCATCTCCGAGGCAGTTTTCCATCAAAACTGATTGTTAAATTGCAGGAGCAAAGGACTATTATGAAACCACTGCAGATCATCCTAGAATATCAAAAAATGCCCTGTAAAACAACATATATTAAGCTAATGTACACATTCTTCTACTAAGAAGGAACTTTTTTTTTTCTATGATTGTCACTGTTGGTGTTTGTATGAAAAGCTTCCTGTCAGAAAAACATTGGAATGCACTTAGTATATTTCATAGAATCATAGAATCAACTGGATTGCAAAAAGACCTCAAAGATCATCGAGTCCAACCCTATCGTCATTATTAGACCATGGCACTAAGTGCCACATCCAGTCTCATTCTGAAAACCTCCAGGAATGGTGAATCCACCACCTCCTTGGGCAGCCCATTCCCATGCCTGACTACTCTTCCCGTAAAAAATCTCTTCCTAATATCCAACCTAAACCTCCCCTGGCAGAGCTTGAGTCTGTGCCCTCTTGTCCTACTGCTAGATGCCTGGGAGAAGAGACCAACCCCCACCTGACTACAACCTCCTTTCAGGTAGTTGTAGAGGGTGATAAGGTCTCCCCTGAGCCTCCTCTTCTCCAGGCTAAACAATCCCAGCTCCCTTAGCCTCTCCTCATAGCACTTGTGCTCGAGTCCCTTCACCAGCCTCATTGCTCTTCTCTGGACCTGCTCCAGCACCTCAATATCCTTCCTGAACTGAGGGGCCCAGAACTGAGCACAGTACTCAAGGTGTGGCCTCACCTGTGCCGAGTACAGGGGCAGAGTCACCTCCCTGGTCCTGCTGACCACACTATTCCTGATAAAGGCCAGGATGCCACTGGCCTTCTTGGCCAGCTGAGCACACCTTGTAAATGTTTTCTCATCTTAAGTAAATAGTCTAAAGAACTTTGGATATGACAGTATGCTCATTATATTTTTATATTTTAATAACGTAATCCTGGTGTACTTGCACCTGCAGCTATATGAACAGAGAGGAAATAATGAAATAGAGAAGCCATTTGAAGTATAAATTAAACCATTTTGAATATGTTTAAATATAACAAGAAGAAAACTGAACTATAAAAACTACCTCCAGGCACTTTCCAAAATAAAGTTAACAAGAATAGTCACATGGAAGTAAAATGAATTTTTATGAAGACATGATAAACACACCTAGATATCAGAACCATAAATTATATCCTATTCTCTAGCTTTCCTGAGAATTGCTGTCTGCAAAATGAGATTATCAGAAGTGTCTGCAGCAATGGAAAGAGAAATTAAAGAAAATGAGCAATGCATTGTAGATTTGAATTACCAATTCAATTCACCTGAACGTGTATTTTGTGGAAACAAATTGTATGCAAAAAGTATACATACTTAAACCAGCTGAAATAATTTATGCTTTGGTAAGAATTTTAAAAAACAGCAGGCATTGTGATACTGCTTTAGAAATATTCCTCAGAGAAAGTGGGATAGAATATTGGAGAGTATTGTAGTAAAGTAAAAAATTACTATTTTGGAATATTTCCTACATATTTAAGACATGAACAGGTAACTTGACCAAAAGGATTGAGATGAAAATGTCAGGAAACATTTGTGCAAATTTCTTAAGACTTCAAATTACAAAGAAACTGTCAGTGCCTACAGTCAATATTTCTTGACATTATTTACTATAGGACGAGCACCTGCTTTAAATTTAAATGCCATTCATTGTGAGTTGAATGCCTTACAGAGTCTTTGAAGGGAAGACAAAAGCAACAGTACTAGTGAGATTTCTGAGATAAATGGTGGGTTTTCTGTATTAAAAAAGATCTCATAGCTCTTTATTAAAAAAAATTCAATTCCTTCCACACTTTAGAGTAAGAATTTGTAAACAGAGTTGCAGTGCCACAGACAGTGGCAGCGTTCAAAGCCAGGTTGGATAAAGCCTTGAGCAACCTCGTCTACTGGGAGGTGTCCCTGCTCATGGTTGGGACTAGATGACCTTTAAGATGCATTCCAACCCTTTGAATATGGTTCTTTGACATCACTTTTAGCAGAAAGGCTCAAACCTAACTTTGGCCAAGTTTATATATTTGGATCACATTTACTTAGAGAAGACTGAGGGCTCTGGGTTAGTCTGGGGGCTAAATTCTGCCCAAATTTAATGTTCACTCGCTATGTTATGTATCTAAGCTTCAGACTCTTCCCCTTTCAGCCTTATTGACCCAAGAGCTCTGGCAAAACCTGTCCAGGAATAAGTGAGCAGATAGTTCTGCTGTGTCTTTCTCTCAGTGCCTTCCATATTGCATCAAGTAGAAAGAAGGAAAAGAAATCCAATGTATGCAAGGAAAGTCGATGCCCCTAGAGGAGGGAATGCACAGAGACAAGGAAACTGAAGTCAAGTGCACAAGTAAGATTGCTCCTGGAAATAACAGCAGACTGGTTCAAATATCAAAGTAGGTAACCTAGTGGAACAAATCCTATGTTAAGTAGCTGACAGTTACTGATATCTGTTTAAACTCAATTCAGTTCATGGTGCATTTATGTTATGATATTCCATTCCATTACCCTATTTTTCTACAGGACATTTTCCTACACAGTGCATGACTCAAGAAGTGCAGTGGTGATGAATTAGTGCTGTGTAACAAAGAGGCTGACAATTTTAAGATTCCTACTGCATTTGTTACAGCAACTGGAGCCTATGTACAGAAGAAGTTAAGGCATGAAAGTAAGAGAGAAGAATACTATCAAGATTACTATGACAAAAAGCTACAGCATTAAGGTTTAGGTGATTGCTACAGAGATTGCATTATGCCAAGGAAGCCATATAAGTACAGTTTGTAATGAGAGGTCACTCCCTTAGTCTTCATTCTTCAAGTGTCCACCTGAGCCACACAGCTCTACAATGTTGTGTATTCAGGAAAAAGACCCACCAGAACACATTGTGGACAGTGATTCTATTAGAAACTAGAGTACACTGAACACAATGAACACCTAAATAAAGATGTGCTTCACTTTTCCCCAATTCTCAAACATTAAAATGGAAATCAAATACCAATTCACTTCAGTGGGAGTGAAGAAATAAGTTCTTGCTCATGAATCACTCAGAGGTAATAAGGAATACTAAAAAAAGCCAATGAGGAAATTATAGTTCTACCAGCATGGCAGTGTTTGGGTAATTCAAAGAAGGGCACAATACTGGTCAAAACTCCTAAGGCAAATGAGGATAAAATAGCACAGGTTTAGTCAGTACCAGTAGGTTGCCTCTTCCTTCTCTTTAACAGCATAACCACTAGGCATTAATTATAAGATACTAAGAGCATCCACAGTGAACCAAAAAAAGTTCCAAGGAAACTCCACCTAAGAAAACTAGAGGGAGGCTAGACAAGCAGATCACAGGCATGGCTTTTATACTGGGGGATGCCCCTGCTGCAATCTCTGCAGAGCACTGACTGTGCATAAAAATGCACTTCAAGAAATATGAACAGAAATCTAATTAAAACTAGATATTTCAGTTCTGTTACTAAGATACTTAAAATTTTCCTTCTCTGCAACAAATGCTGAGCAAATAAAGTTATTCTCTCCCCAGAGTAATTCCAACAGAATCCCCTCCATTAAGTTCTTATTATCTCTGACCATTGGACCTTGCCAACAGCTCTGTTACTATGAAGAGAAGTTATTCATTAGCAGTTAAGAGTGTAACTAGGAGCAGTAATTTTCAAAAATGTGTTTGCTATCAATGTCAGTGTCTCAGAATTCTCTCAAAAGCGTATCTGGGACAGGTAAAATGTGAACATGTGCTATAAGGATGATGTATCTGTCCTCACTGGTAAGCACAGCTCTGACAGACTGTGGCCTCTGCCACCCTCAATTGCTTTTCGTTCAGCAAGCTGAGAGAAGGTGATTAAGGCCTGAAGACAAGAGCAGAAGAAAGTGAAGGAGGAACTGCAGACAGTGTAATGAAAATTCTAATTAGAGTTGATTTCTTTTTTTTAATTGAAAACTGTGCTGCACAGCAGTCACACCTACTATGCTGATTGTGGGTGAATGGGTGAAAGGGACGAAGAGATCCTCCCCCTCCCAGTTCATTCCCAGCAGTTGGCACCAGGCTTTTCTGTCAGACTTTTGCCTGCTCAGATCAGATACGAAAACTTCCAAAGTAAGTGTTGGTTAGCCTAGGGTAGTCAAAATATTCCCATCCAGAACAAGACAACTTGGTGAGTGTAGATCATTCTAACTCAGTAATTAAACAAACAGTCAGTTTATGCATCTGAAGAGGTATGGATTGTGAGCAGCTGGAGGTCTGTTAGGACTGGAAACCACACACAACAGCTCAGCTGTGATAAAAAAAAAGTGTATGTGGGGAGGGAATTAATAGACCCTATCTTTAAACATCATCTTGGAGAATGATGAAGTACCTACTGCCAAGGATTCTAGAATGGTATCCTCAAAAACCTGATGCCAAATGAGAATGCCAGGAGAATGCTGAGGTTCCTTACATGTGCTATATCAGTAGGTTTCCTTAATGACCTTGTGCTAAAAATAAATACTGAAACTGAGACAATATTATGTTTGCATACAAAACAAGTGGTCTTGTACTTCCCACATCTCAAAGAAAATAACAATATTAACCTACCACAGACATGCAACTTTTCAATACTTTTACTCTAATCAGACCCCTTTCTACTTTCTCCTTTTTTCACACGTGTTATAAAATATGCATTTTGTTTTCGGAAGCAATAAACAAGTTTCTACTGCCACTGAATTTCAGAAACAAGTGTATCTGTGTAACACTCACTCTGGTGGTTTCAGAGAAAATTAAGAATTTAGCACAAGACTTTCCCATCTGAAGTTAAATTAATGAACTTCCAAGACTAACAGCACATCTCAAGTACTGATTAGCAACACAAACTTCAAAATCTAAATACAGTTTCAATCCACTCTAATTAGACATAAAGATGACTTTATACTAGCTTTATACTAACTCAGAATAACTTAACTAATTCATCTCTCAATTGCAAGTATTTATAATATACATGAATAACTGAAGACAGTTTCTGAATTTTAACAAGTTCTTTCTTAACAATTTCAGCACTACAAAACCCAAATACTGGATAAATCCTACCACTTCTTACATTCATTGTCCTGGGGTTTTGATCTTTGTTCTCCTGCTACAGCATATCAAAATGTACATGCTTGGTAATACAGATCTTTATCCCTTTTATCATTCTTTTGTACAATCCTAAATTTTCTAGATCTCCCAGGAGTGTTCAAATATGCAAACTGGTTTTTTTATTCACTGGCCTCTTTCATTTCTGCTCTAATTATTCTACACAAAATGAAATTACACAATTATGTATGGTTATGCTGCAAATTAATAGGCAACGTGGTAAAATCATGTCTTTGGTCCTACTCTGCACCTCTTTAAGTGTGGCACAGCTGTACAAGACTTCCACTCAGTCCCTGTTAGGTGGTTCCTCTTCCCTATGCAGTTTCTGTAGTCATAAGAAAAACATCCAGCAGAAGCAGTGACAAAGCTAGAAATGCTGTTTTTTGCATGACTTTTGACTGAAATAAATAGGGGGTAAGGCAGGAAAACATTGATGCAGCAGCTCGAGCACACTGCACACCAACAACCCCAGACAGATCCCCTTTACTGGAGTAACCCTCCAGCTGATCAGAACTGCTCCACAACAGAAGCCCTAAGGAAATTCCTCATTCCTATTAGTTTGAAGAGGAATAAATTGTGCATGTTTATGTCAGTTAAACACTGTTCATCTAGAAATATTACTATGTGATTTTTGTCAACTACTTTAATAAATACTGTTGTTGTTGAAAAAAATGTCATAGTTTTCTTTCAGTTTTGGTCCATAGCATAACCATAGCTGTTCTATCAACCATCTGCTTTATCCAATGTCTCCAAGTGTAAATTTCAGTACATGTAGCATTAAACTATTCCTGTGGTCCTCTCATTAAAGAAAAACAAGACATAAAGCCCCACATATCCTTGTACGTACCTTGATTCTATGAAATCGAACAATATCTCCAATTTTGTAAATTTTTGGCAGGGAATCTAGATTTCCATTAAAAAGAGTGCACGTTAACTTCACATTTGATGGGTCCACAAGTGTTACAACTGAGCAATAATCTGTAAAATACAGAAGGGTCTGAATGAGTAATAGGGTTATGGAATTATTAACACACATATATTAAAATTGAGATGAACAACCATAAAGCCAATTTTTTTCTGCTATGATATATGTAACTCTTCAAAGTTAACTTTTTTATAATATCATTCAACTGAAGTGTGGCCCCATATTGCTGATCATTAGCCCAAAAACCTGAAAATGAAATGTGTGATTAATCTGTGAGCCAGGAACCCACAAACCTTTTTTCTTCTCTTTGCAACAGGCATGCTGTTCATTCAGGTTTCAACTACTTGCACTATAAAGTGAGAAGCAGGTGCACAATCCAATCCAATGCTTTTCAAAGATTTATTTTTGCACTGCCTTCTGAAGAGGTAAGGAGTTCTACAAGTTCTATAGGCAAATTAAAGCATAAATTACATATCCTTCACTTCACCAAAATATGCAAGAATACAGTCACACAGTGGTAGTTAGAAATTACAGCAAAAATCTGAAATGCACCCTTTTGGAGTTAGACTTCCTAGAATTTCACTTTATTAATGACCTATGAAAACAAGATACAAACTGCTCAGAATAAAGTAGTATTTGCAAACAACATAAATTAAACCTGTATTTTCCATTTCCCTTACAGAAGTGTGAGCTGTGATACCTTACAGCACAAAGAAACATTAAATTTCTCATGCACAACCCACTGTCCCCCCAAGAGACACAGTGTAACCTGCAACCACAGTAAGGGAAGTAGAGACTTGGAAGGGGGAAGAAAGGGTGACTGGAGTGAAGCTGAGCCTGGAAAGGTAGAAGAAAGGTGTTTCCCCTAAGCATTCAAATGTTTGTCTTCTTTGTTTCTCAATACCTGAGCAAGTTATAAAATGTTTATGTTAACTGACAATGAATTAAATTCCCAAAGTCAAATCTGTTTTGCACCTGACAGACACATTTTCAACTCTCAAAAATAAAAACCCAAACAAAAAAGCAAAAAATCCAATGACGAAAAACCACAGCTTCCCTTAGCTCTAATTCTATGAGGGAGTTCGTGATAATGACGCTAAACCAGAGTTTCCATATCTGGGAACTGAACAATGTTGTCATAATGCTAATACAAAAGCAATAAAATCTCCATCATGCATTTTATAAAGTTGCAGACACATTAGTTGTTGCTAGAGAGCTTTGAAGGAGAATGCTATCAGTCTGCTAAAACTGACAGATCTGCCTTACATAAAATAACTAGAGGAAGGCAATCAAAGGAAGACAATTGTCATATGTAAACTCTGTGAACAGATTCACCAAACATGAAGACAGATACATTAGACTGCATTAAAACTACTACTCTTGTTCCTCCCCAAGATTTTAACACAGGCTCATTAAGAATAAATTATCTTCTATTGCACTCAGAAGTTGCTAAGCATCACTCATTTGCACACTCACACCAAAGGCACAAGATCCAGAGTCACATAGTGCCTATTCTGACATTCTGTGCTAGGAATCACATGAGTGAAGTCCAGTAGTGGCTGACAAAACTCCAAGCATTTACTACTGTAATCCAAGGACAGATTGTTGTGTTTCTTTGGACACAAGCTCTAGAGGTTAACTTATCTGGTCAGCTGCAAAGCAATATGAGCAAAATGAGCAATTAAGAAGAAAAACCCATATGGTTCATTATATTTATAATCCTTTGAGGACACAGGATAACATGTTACAGTGCACTGATATAATCCAACATCAGATCAAGAATGAAATAAAAGCATTCCACATTAAAACTGTAGTTACTCTTTGGTGCTGTGATTATACAACCTAGTCAGCTTCGTACATATGCAGCTGCCTCCACTTTCTGCACAATTAGCACACCCATATGAGACTGATAATCATCCTAGTCAAAGCAGTATAGAATACTACGCTTGCTTTATACAGTCAGGGAACACCTTCTACATAATATACATTCTCTGTCTCTGTGATTTTAGACTTACAGCCTTAACTACCACCTCAAAATATCACTTCTACAGTAAACCTAATGAAAATAGAGGTCTCTGGGAACAAGGCATAAAGACTGATTTCCTTTTAATGAACACCTCATCCAGCAAGTCCTTTTTAAGGTTAAAATTAAGAAGCCACCTGTCTTTCCTTCTCCAGCTGGAAGGTGAATTCCATAGCAACATTATAGTTCAGTGACTGAATTCACTTTTCTGCACAAATAATGAGTCAAACTCTAAACAGAATGGATGAATTTAAATATTGTCCCAGTGTTATAAGAAACAATATAAAAAATGTAATCAGCAAACCTTTGATTTTTCTCAATATACTTTCCAACAAAGCAAAATTTCTCAGTTACAATGCTAATAAATTATTGGAACCAATTTTCCATTACTAGATAAATTTACTCCACTGATTAACTTTGCTTTAAAAGGGAAACTTCACCACTGGTAAGTTTTACTTGTAATAATATGTCATTAAAATATTACATAATGGATGTACAGCTCAGCAATCTATAACAGAAAGCTTTCTACTTTCATACTAAATTGACTCAGTAAATTCACTGGATTTCAACAGAAACTGCACAGAACTCAAAACTGCACCTCTTTTTTTTAAATATACTTAATTATTAGGAAGTGGTATTCTCACCCAGGCTTAACATCATGTGAGGGACAACCAGCCATGGGCAGCTATCCATAAGGATGCCTGGAACACCTCACAACAAGTGTTTATGAGAACACAGAAAGAAGTGATGTTTGGTTTCGATGAAGTACAGAGTGATGCAGACTAGTCCCTACTGCTCTTTAAAATTACAATTGCTTTGTTACTTAGATTTTTATTTTAAAAACTCCACAACTATTTGGTGATCAATAGAAGGTTACATTAATGACATAGAGAAGATAATTTCCAAGCTTCTAGGTCCTGACTTTAAATATTTTGAAATGTGAATGTTTAGTGGCTCTGTAACAGTCATAGAAAAGCTAAAATTTCCTCCACTATGACAATGGTGTTTAATCTTCAGGTTACAGCTTTCCTTTTGTAAATGCCATAGCATTTCCACTCCTTTATGGGCTGTTATGTCAGTCATCAGCATGCTCAGAAAGCCAGCATCACTCCACAGATATAGAAAATAAAACACCTCAAACCCCCAAAAAAACAAACCCCACAGCACAAGTTTATTTTTAAGTCATCATGACGAGTAAACCAGAATTGCTACAAAAGCTTTCCACACTAGTAGTTACTGATGTTGTAGGACTAACAAATTCTTTAGTGCTTCTAGACTAAACATTTATTTCAGTTTTACCAACGACTGCAGCAGTGCCTAACAAATATGCTTGTATAAACTGCTGAGGTGGAAAGCACTGATCGAACTACAAATCCCCTTCTGGGCAATCACATATGTACTTCTAACTAGCATTTAAGTGGAAAACTCACTATCCTGAACCAATAACTTCCCCCTGCAAAGAGATAAAAAGGTTTTTGGCAATATTGTTGGCAATTAAGGACTCTAATTAAAGACTGCCTTCTGTTTCTTATATTTTAACATACACAAAAAAGAAAGATTATTGTAGAAAATTATTCTCTCTTCAAAACTAAACTAAACATTAATACTGTTTTCCAGAATTACTGAGGCCATTCAATACACAAGTGTCTGTACTAACACCAAGCAGCTGAACCAGCTAATCTGCTATACATGTTCAACAAGAAGGAAGAAAAACATAAATGTACACACTCCTATGCATGTGTGTGTGTATATATATATATATCTGTATATACATACAAACATGTACTGCAGAAGCCCAAAACACAACCTCAAAGAATCCAACTGAAGATGTTTTACTACAGCTTGTTACTTCTAACATGGTGATACACTTAAGAGGCACAAACATTTAAAAACTATCAGAAGCATCTGGCTAAACAGATGCTTTAATGCCATCATTTGTAAACCCTGGGATAAGAATGTTGATGAACTTGGCTCAAGATCAAACAAAGACTGAAAATAAAAATAAAACTTAAGGCTTCAAAATACCTTTAAGAATCTGATTTGTGGTCCTTAAGCTGCATTTTGGGCATGTAAAACTGCTGACCTGGAACTGATTTTTAGAATTGTGCTTTCTGAAAATGCTACCCTTTATTAATTTTTATTCTAACAAACGTTGCATAAAAATAAAATAGTCACAATCCACATGCACGTGTAGGTAGGCTGAGATTTCAATTCAACATGTGACATATGAATATACTGCATATACTTAAGAGAACAAGCTAGGTGAGGGTTTCCCCAAGAAAACAGGACATTATTCCTATGAATTACTGTTAATCAGCAGCAAGGATTCTTCTTGCCATAATTCTTCCCTGAATTACGGAACACACTGACTAATATCTAAATGAAAAAAACAGAAAGAGTTGAGGAAGCAGCAGCATCACACTGTAATGTCCTAAAACACAATCTCTGTAATCGGACACTTCAAAGAGCCTCTTTTTCTGCTACATTTGTTGTTTTTACAGTAAATCTCAAGGCTAAACACTTGAGAAGTCCTTGGCATTAAGGGAGGGGGGAGAGGAGAAAATGAACTTTGATAAAAGATTTAAAATACCTTAAGACTCTTCAGCTATTGGGGAAGGTAAGCTAGAACATAATTTTGAACACCTCCAACAGATCTTCTGGCAGACAAAATCCCCACTGTTTATTGTACCAAGCAGGACCTGAAGTACTTCCTTGGACAGTTTTCAGAACAGAGTACCCATGTACAGACATTCCAAACTACATGCCCTGAGCTGAAGAGTGCTGTTAAAACAACTTTCTCTGGAATAAATAATGTATGATCATACTGAAAACTCATTTCATCCATCAGTGTTTTAACATACATCTAATACAACAATGGAATAGAACATCAAAAGATTTAATTACAGATTAGATAAACTGACAAGGCTAATCTAAGTACCACACCAGTGGTGCCCACTTTCAGTGGGAACACATTGCAAAGCTTCAGCCTTTAGCTTTAATATATGGAAGAAGGAGCAGCATCTTCTATCTCAGGGCATCTATATATAGTGAATAAAGACCTATATGGATTAAGTACAGTGGCTCCCAGCAGGTATCAGCTTACATCTATATGGTTCTATTAATACAGTGTCAGAAAGAGAATGCATCAGTGCAGGATTCTGCCATATCTAACGCGACTATGGAACTTTCTGAGGAAAGCCATTACACGCCCTGGAATTCAGAACAATCATTGAGCATTCTGCACCCTCTCAACCAGACATTCACTCTGGATTGTGCAAACAACCCAAAAAGCAACACTGAAATATTTAACTGATTAGTGAATATTTTTACACTAAACCCCAAATCAATTAGAACTGTTTCAGACATTTTCATTATAAAGTAGCAAGTGAGTTACATCTATCTTCATAAACATGAAACTTCAAACTGAGTCCTTATTCTCCACTGATGTTGTTGTGTTGGGTTCATTTCATAATACCAACTGAAAATATACAGGGAAGTTATTAATGGCATCTAGGCCAGGACTAGTTGTTAAACAAATAAACTTTTTCCCTGTTACATTTCTATTACTTATGAAATTGAAGTGATTAACTTGACAACTCCATTGCAAAAATCTGTCCTAGCTCTTTCTGAGACATACTACCTTCAAAGCCAGTGCATTTAACTTCACTGGTTTTACATACCTGGAAAGAATGCTGGAAATCATTAGGACAGCCAATCAGGGCTGGTCTAAGTAAGATGTTCAAAGTCTTAAGTCTCCCAGTCTCGTTAAAGCAGCAGGACAAATGACAAATCTCAACCATGAGATCTTTCAAGAACTGCCCTTCTATGATTTACTCAAAAAGTAAAAGTAGTCCTTTCCATATGTGATTAATTCCCTTCTTAGTCTTTTTCTTGTCAGCAATGTGAACAAAGGAAACAAAACCTTTAAAAGATTTTGTGGGGTTTGTTTTGTTTGTTTATTTGTTTTTAAGCCTGAGTCTTAAACCTACAATATTTTTTCAAGAGGAAAAAACCTCTATTCACCACTGGCAATATCCTGGATTGTTGCAGCAGTTACCAGACACCACCACAAAATGAAGATTTTGAGAAGCTTTCTGCAGTGGTAAACAGATGTTGCCTGGCAGCTACTGCAAAAAATATTTATCAATCTTTTGCATTAAATACAAGATACTGTTCTCTTCTCTGTACAGGTCTAGACTATCCTTGCACCTTCACAATGAAGTATTTTATAGACAAATGACACACGAAGCAGGAAGAACTACCAGTGGTAAGATCTCACACAAATAAAGTGTTTAACTTTTAAATTCGGCCCTCCTATTTGAAAAAGCGTAAAGACTCTGCTATCATTGTATTTACATTGATACTTAAGTATTAACTGTAGCTAAATCACATAACAGTTCCATATGTATTCAGCTCTAAGGGGAGACTCATTTTAATTACTATTGCATCTAAGCTAGCAATATAACCTCATTTGCTATGCTCACAGCCAACATGCACACAATTAATTTAGTATCTTATGAATATTTGCATTTCTATTTAGATGTCAGAACAAATTTTCTGTTTCTAGTCTAAATGCACTGAGCTCCTGAAGGTACTTTCACTTACCATTACCCCTCATTAACATCTAGGAATATCTGTTGTGTTGTAACATTCATAATGTAAAACAATTGGAATTTGTACTTTTCTGCTTTTGTTGGGCTATGTTATTGTCAAAACCCAATTATTTTCTGGAAAAGCTGTGACATCTAACTTTTCCACACCTTTCTCTAACAGCTACCCTTTGCTTTTTTCTATATAAACCAATCAAAGCAATGTATCCTTTTTAAAAATTGCAATTTATAATTTTAGTAAATCAATGACTATGTAGAATCTGATAATACTCAGTTTAATTTAGTCTCATGAGGGGAAAAAACCCCAAACACACACACTGTATTTGCTATTAAAACAGATGGACCATTACTGGCTCAGTTCCCAACTTAATGACTACAACTATTTTTAAATGCTAATGTTTAAATTTGATTATCCCGTATTCTTTAGACTCGATTTTATGTTTCAGAGTTATTCTGGGGAACATTACTGCCTGCTCAACATTGAGTAAGAATGTGGAACGGAAAGGTTTGCTAGGAGCAAGCCATACCAACTGCTACAAGAAACAGTAATGGGAATTTATTTTGACAACTAACTGTATGGGAAGCACAGAACTTCTGTCCTGCAGACACCAGAGCACAGAGTCCTACCACTGCCCATATACTGTTTCTTCTGTGGACACAGTCGACAGCATGTAAAAATGCTGTTGACTTCCCCAGAGCTATTCATTAGCTTGTGGATCCAGTTAATCTAATATATTCTTCAAAAATCCTATGCTGCTCTGCATAACTTAACTACAGCTGCTGGCTGGGCTGGTAGCTGCCTTCAGTACAGCTGACACTTGCTGTGTGACAGCCCAGAGACCAGCACATGCACGTGCTGTCTTCCCTGGGGGCAAGAGTTGGACCAAACTTGAGCTGCAAGTACAGTGACACCACACTTTACCTACAAGTGAGAGCAAGTATTTCCTGCCAATAGGGTCTTTAATGCCAGCACATCTGTTTAACTACAACAATACCACATGCATCAAATGTAAGCAAGTAAGCATGTCCACAGTGCAGAGTGTATCAGTATAGTTCAGCCGAACATACTGAAGCTAACAGACACACATCTGCACAGACCTCCTAGACATTCCTCCCACTCACATACTAAACTGATTCAAACTAAGGCTGAAGATTGCTTTCTTCAAAATATGAAAACATTAGTCAAAACTTAGTTGGCCTGGAACTTTTTTGGGGTGTACCATCATGTTTGCACAGCTTTCAGTTGTTTCAAGATATCTAACTGTAAGCAAACCTCATTCTGGAAGGTGGAGGAAGAACTGTGCTCTCTCTGCCTTATCTTGAGTGCATCATGTTCAGACTGCTGCTCACAGGTTTTGAGCAAGTAAAAATCACACAGATCTGTTCACAAAAGGTTTTGCAGGCAAGCTGCTAACTCTTGGTTCTGATTTAATGCTCAGTTCTAAAATGCCTGTGTTTAGGAGACAAATTCATGGCTAGTGATGTTATTTAAGGGACCTGCATGTGTAATTAAGACCATAAAAATCAAAAATCACCATCATAATCCATTCTTTTTTGTTTGATTAGTAATACATTTAGAAGGGAGAAAAAGCCCAACTTTAAAATGCACAGTAACTTTATAATAAGCAGGAAATACTTCTGATTAATTCTGAATCAAATAAGAAATTCTATTGCTTAATCAAGAGCTGGATGCAGTACTCCAGGTGGAGTCTCAGAGCGGAGCAGAGGGGCAGAATCCCCCCCCTCGACGTGCTGGCCACACTGCTTTGGATGCAGGTCAGGATACAGTCTGACTTTCCAGGTTGCAATTGCACATTGCCAGCTCATGTCCAGCCCCTCACCCACCAATTTCCTTGATGTTACCTGAGAACCATGGTCAAAGGATCATGTGAATTTGTTCTTCTGGCTGATTTTTAACAAACATAGTAACAATAGTTCTGTCTGGAAGAGAAGATTTAAAATCTCTTGAATTACAGTACATACCAGTTCCTTTGCTGATATATGGAGGTTTGAAAAATTTCACAACACCATACAAATTCACTATAGTTCCGTCTTTAAGATGGTTCAGGGGAGTATACACATATTTTGGTGCAACAAACTGGAAAGGCATGATAAAATGAGGAAACAGAAGAAAAAAATTATTCAAACATTCACACAGAATTCTGTCTTTTAACATGTCATCCTCAGTCATGTTTACTTCATCTTAAAAGAAAATAAAGATTATCTATTTCTTTGTATCTTATTCACTCTAGACTCAGAAAGCACATAAGACATTTCTTTTTGTAACTGCATCTTCCTTACAATAAACAAAACAATTAGTTCCAGTAAGTTTTAATACATGAACCAGGTGAGCAGAAGTCATTATAATAAATAATCTAAATAAATATTAAAATTTGGCATTTCTTGTTGGCAGTGTCACTGCACAGAATCACTGCCTTGGGTGGAGGGAGCAGTTTACCTCTCACAGTCACTGTGCAGGTCCTCCAATTAATATAGCACACTTATTGGAGGATTAAAGAAATTAAGGACTAGCTTCTACTATTCAAGGACTATTCTCCTCTCAACCTCCTAGGATTGTAATCTATGCTGATTAGACTCTTTTAAAGAATGTAAGTTCTGCCAAACTGACTGAAGACTGTCATTTTCAGTTACTATACTGGGGGAAAAAATGGAACTCTTAATAAAATTAATGTCATTAACATGAAACCAAGCTTTATCATCTTCAGTGCTGAATCTTTAACACCATGATAAACAACAATAAAATTTCATAAACCAATTTCTGTGCCTTTAAAATCCTCTTTCCTGAAGAATTTTAATTTAGACACATAAAGGCCTGTTCCAAACAGCAATTGAAACAAATGTTAAGACCAGCACATGAAGTCTGATTTCAAATCAAAAGACGATTCACCTTTTCTTTTAAAGCACAATCATACAATCTTATTCAGAACAATAGTTCATATTTTCTAAACCAACATGCAGCCTATTTGAAGATCGAGATGGGAACTATACTATGAGGATAGAAAATGTACTACTTTTTCATAGTTTATTCTGTGTTCCAGGTATATTATTCGCAAAATTAAAAGCTAAACAAATGACTGCTGTCATAGGAGTATGGAAGTTAATTTCTTTCTTAGGAAATTTTTTCTCTCAGGAAGAAAATTAATTCCCTACATTCTTATTTACATGCATTAGACTCATGGGCTTTAAAAATATCCCAAATAGAAACTAACCATAGATGCCGTTTCTGAAGCAGCAGTTTTTCTTGATTTAGTGTAAATCTGCAGAAAGAAAAACAGCAAACTTTCTGATGACAAAATTTAAGGCACTGCAAATATAACAACATTTGATAACTCTACAGCAAATGTAACACTATAAGCAAATACAAAACAGCCCAGCAAACACTTTTGCTATGTGAATCACCTCTGAATCTAGTAAAATTTTATTCTACAGAAGAATAGTTACAGCAATGACACTCAGATGAGAGCTACTTCAAAATAATACAAACATTTTCTAAAGTAGGAACACGCTTAGTTGAATATAAGTCAGGTCATGTTAATAGAGTAGCATTTGGAAGTTGGAACCCCCAAATTTTAAACTCTACTTGCTTAACATAAAACTTAAATGGATTTAAGTTTTGTGCATGTAAGTGCCTAGAGCTGATCTACTCTCAGTGACTTGTTACTCTCCTTTAAGGGAAAAATAATTGAAAACAAAAGGTCAAGGCAAATTCACCAGAATGGGATAAATTCTATTTAAAGATAGTTCCTAAGCCTTTTGGGCCATACTTAGGAGCCAGACTCAGCTTCAGTGTAAGGTCTTTTGAAGACCTACAACTGGTGATCTGACGAAAAGCCAACACAAACCCACCCTGTATGTGAAACACAGGGCTCAGCTGCCAACCCACTGTTACAGCACAGCCTGTCTGCTGGACACAGGGTCCCATGTCACAGCTGTGCATTGCCGCAGCAGGGCAGACTCCTGCCAGGGATCTGGTTTTGCTTTCCACCCTCAGCTGCATTCCTGAAGCTAGTTTTACTTCCATTTACTTGTTTGAAACAGCCAAAGGGAAAGTCTGAGAAGTGAAGCGCACAAAAAGTCTGATCATTTGTATTAATATTAAGCATCCAAAGATCCTGTCAGTAAAGTAAGTGCCACAAGATCCATTCTGTGGTCAGTGATGAGACAGACACCTCTCCAGCACAACCCGGGCACTCAGTGAGCTGCACATGTTCTTTGGGATTAGACAGTATGTCATGAGGTCTCACCAATACTCAACTGCATGCCTCAAGTAGTTCCGAAAATTTAGGTCTGTTTAGTTTAGACACACTTGTTCAGATTCAGGGCACAGTTTTGCTATCTACTATCTTCAATGAAACATACTTTCTCTACCTATATATCATCATTATCAATAGATAATGTCATGAAACCGCATGAACTACCATTTTAAATCATTTTCTTCTCACTGAGCAGTGTGCCAAGCTTTAATTATCTATAGAGATCAATTCTGAAATAAAAACTCCTTTCTAAATATAAAAACATTTTTCCTAAATTTTAAATTTTATTACACAACAACTATACAGACAAAAATTAACAGCATTGATATGAGAATAGTACAAAAACCCAATTCTTTTACTCAGGAATAAGAGGCACAATTCTCTTTAAAAAATTTAGAAACTAGTAATCCATGTATTTCAAAGGCAAAGACTAATGATGTGAGTTAAAGCAATGCAAACTCATAGACCAGAGAAAACAAAAAAATAATAGACCTGAGACCACTCTCATATTTACCTTGTCTGCACTACTGAAATGTGTTATGCACAAGAGTGGTTTAAATAGCTCTAGGAATCTATCTAAAGCCAACTAAAGTGAAATTTCTGCACTCAACAACTAGTAATTTACCTGGGAGATAACCTGGGTCTTGCATGGTTAGGGTTATGATAAAATAGCACAAGTGCACACACACTCAAATGTGTCTTGATTGTTTCCTGATGAACAGGCTCAAGCAATCTGCAGCATCTTAGTTTCTAATAGATTTTATCATGACTTTCTACTCTAAAGGAAAATGTTAATGTTGGTATTTGGAAAAAAAAATAAAGTAGAAAAAAGTTGGGTACACACGTACATAAATGGCAGATCCAGCTTCTTCAGATACCTCCAGGTGACAACGATGTCTACCATCCTCTCTGGCTGTAGGTGAGTTATTCACCTTAAATCCTGCAACTACGAAGATGTCCTGTGGGAACAGGGTAATAAACAGAAACTTACACAGACTGTATCATATACTCTATTTAAACAACATGTGACGTGAAATTTCACTCTAAAGTCTCAAGGTATTGAAAAAACAAAACTCCTGAACAAATTGTAAAAACTGTCTTTATTTTCCAAATTTAGTTCTTCTGCCCACAGAATTCATATTTTGAAACAATGCCAGCAAGCACTGTTTTTTCAAATTCTGCTAAAATTTTCACACTCTTGATGCTACTGGGACTGACTGCTATTTTTGACAAGGGCCAGAGGGGAAGATTCACACTGAATAAAGCAAGAGAATCAACCCACTAAGACTGACTCCTTTCTGGGTAAGCTTAACCAAGGTAGAAAATAAGTCACACATTGGATCAGCAGTGAGAAAACACCCTTTTCTTGGAGCTTCATTCTCACTGAGTTACAGGTGTACTTTGGAGAAACTCTCCTTGTAAATATTTTCTGTTTTGGTTGGACCAACATCTTCCAGTTTCTTCCTTAAAGGTCAAAAAGGTGAGTCAATCAATAGGTAAGTTTCTGGTAGCAAAAGAGACATTACAAACCTCTCTGGCATCACTCCTGACATTCTGACAATTGTTAACTCCCACACCACAAACTGAACAAGAAAAGGAGGATTTAAAGGTAGATAATTCCAGTCCTAGCAGCTTATATTTTTATTAGCAATGTCATCAAATTAAATCAAAAAATGAAGGAGGAGAAGATAGAAATTACGTAAAACACATTTAGGAAATCAGAGGTGATAAAAAAGGTATCTGATATAATGTAAAGCTCCTTTATACTCAGCTCCCTTGCTATCAGAACTGTGCAGCAGGGCTATCCCAATGTGATCAGTTTCAATAACCATATTAGACTTGGAACCCTATTTCTATTCAAGCTTCTACCAAAAGCACTTCCATAAACTTTTACCGAATGACTTTTGTTCATGTGTTTATTTGATTACAACAAATAAAAGAGCTTCCTGATTAAAGCTGACAGCTTTAGCCAAATATTGCACTATGACAGCTCTTTTTTTCTGCCATTTCAGCAACCTGACAATGCTACTCTAAATGATTTAAGATCCAAAACCTTAATGTTTTGTGCAATAAAAAGAACGGCTCCTCGATTAAGTGACACTGATATATTAAGTTATTAAAACATCAGGGAAAATATTTCTGCAGAAAATGCAAGTGTAATCAGACAGTTTAATGCACACTGAAACTACTTAGGGCATGGCGATTTTCAGGTAGTGTCACAAATGGGAATACAATGTATATTTTGACTAAAATATGTCACCTAGAAGTAAGTCATACTCAAAGCTAAGTTAAAATGTGTCAAAACAACTAGGCAATGCAGTATTCCTTGCACCTGTAACACACCATCCTGCTAACATACATGCATCAAGTTGTTTCATTCTTTCAGTTACAAAACCACGTAACTCAAGCTTTAAGAAACTCAGCAATTTTGCAGAAAACAGGTATTAGTGTGTGTCTTTCCTTTCACTGCTGCTGATGCTGCCCAGGGTATTCTTTCAAGAGCAAAATCAACCTTCAGCTAAAAAGTGATGCCTGGCTATACATTATTCCCATTTCAGCATTTTATCAGACTGCAGGCTGCACAATGGGCTGGGACTTGGTTGCTGAGTCAGGATTGAAACTCTGTACAGCTGACTTGACTTGTCCTGCTCACCTGTGTCGGAAGGAACTTCAGAATTACACAGACTCAGCCTTTACACAGGTTGACAATAAATGGAAACATTTTTGTGAATAATATTAGATTACTAGTGATCACTCTCACATAATATATATGTAATGTGTAGTATGACATTAAAAAAAAACTTGTGAAACGACTGTACCATTTCAAAGAGGAAAACCAAACAGCACTAACCTCAAAATCTAGTTTTACAGGAAGAAAAAATATATTCTTACAAATTCACAGTCAACTTCAACAGGTTGTGACTTGCAGTTTTTAAATGTGCAACAAATTCGTCTATTTGCACAGTGCTTTGAAATGTAATGCTGTATTATTTTTCAAGAAGCATTAGCTTCCATTTCACCTCTAGTTAAGAGGTTTTCATTATTGGCTTGGGAATCAAAGCAATTTATGGCGATTGGTAGATTTTCATGTCAAAAGAAGAGCATTATATTGCACATACAGGTAAACTATCAGATTCGACCAATATTTTTACATGGCAACAAGAAATCCTATTCCTCTCATTCAAAAGGTGTGAAATACAGAAAAGGCAGTATTTCCCCTGATGGTTATTCTATTACAGAAGAAGACACTCAGGAGACAACATGGTTATCCATATTTTTGGAAATAACCTGCTCCTCCCCCCAGTCTATTTAGCTAAAATTGTTACAGTATGGCAAGAACGATAAAGAAATTACAAAGTACTGAAGTTTGAAATTGTAAGCAGTAAACAAAGAGTACTGGACCTTACTGAAGTAATTCTGTAACAGCTAAAACTTTGGGATCTATTCCATGATTGCTGAACTGCAACTCTGCTAGTTTCAGAAATCATTCTGTTTCCCCAGATTCAGATTCTTCCAAAACTAAAATCTCATTTGAGACATGTGGAAAGTACCATGAAGGTTCAGTTCACTGGAGATCGAATTCTGATTTCAGTGACCTCTGGCTGTCTAAGGGCTGTTGCCTGTGGGTTGTGGTTTCCTACTCAGCTCTTCAGTACTAATCTTTCTAATTGTTGTTCATTGACTTGTTCAAAATGTGTATTTTTATCAGGACAAAACTTATTTATTCTTTGAATTTAAAAATATTCTGCAGCTTGCGTATTTAGTAAATTAGTTCAAGAACTTCCCATCCTGGATTCACTGTCAAATTTCTGTGGAACTGAGAAATCTGTATAAAGAGTGACATTTGCCCAGAGAAGCTGCAGATGCCCCATCACTGCAAGTGTTCAACGCTACTTTGGGGCTTTGAAGCCACATGATGTAGTGAGGGATGGCAGGGGGGCTGCAACTGGATGACCTTTAGAGGTGCCTTCCAGCCCAAACCATTCTATGATTCAGTGTGAACTCATATCACAAATGAATAGGACAAACATGAGCTCATAATGTATCATATACTAATTTTAATTTGATATTTGGCTAATATTGAAATGTCAGAAAACTGACAGGCAATCTAATCAAAAAATTAAGTCAAGGTAATTGCTTTTATGTTGTTTTCCTTCTTAAGCTGCAACACACAGTTTCACAGACTCACAGGCTGACTTGTCAAATTCCTAATTCCTTTACCCTGGAGCTAATCAAACCAAGCAAGACACCACCACCCACCCAATAAAGAAAACTGCATGCATCGTTTTGGGGTTTTCTTTTTTTTTTTTAATAGCATACAATGTACTTGTCTTTTAAATCAATTTAATTCTAAAAATCTATCTTACCAAATGGCAAAATATGAACATAAATGGATGACTTCTCTATTATCCATATTCATGATCCTTTACTTGCAAGGTAAACAGCACTGACAAAAAGAATTGCTCTATTTCAATATTACCATTAGAAAAAATTTACATTTGTAAATACATTTTTCTAGTTCATATTTATAGATTTGAAGGGACTGAAGAGACTATTTCTAATTTAAATGACAGGTAGACAAAGTCAAGACAAGAATCTCTGAAAGACAATTCCTAAAATAATAATATATGTATGGTTTTTTTACCCCATGGCGCATAACTTTTGCACAATCCTCTGCCATTTTCCCATATATTAAAATATTGATGCTGTTGATCCGTGAGCACAAGTTATCCAAATCTAAAAAAAAACAAAGCAGAAATTATTTCGATCACCATACAGCAGTGGGAAAAGATTTCCAAAACAAGTTAATCTACAGTGTCTTACACTTTTCACTTCAATTAATCTACAAACAGAAAATTTTTGCAAAGTTAAACAAGTGCTTTTATGTGATAACTATAGAAATATTGGTCAGAATATTCATCGTAAGAGCACCGTGTAAAATGTGCACATGCAGCACACCAGTGTGCATTAAATAGAAATGACAAAGATGTCTACTTGGACAATTCAGAGTATAGTGTTAGAGGAAATATTACCCAGTCACATTTGATTTTTCACAGAGCCTATTATAGAACTCGCAAACTGAAAATATTCCAGGACACAGACATACCAATTAATAACCTTCTAGAAAGACTGAAGCAGAAGTTATGTTGTTGTTTTAAAAGAGTTATCTACCTTTTACTGTTTCAAAAACAACACTAATGATTCAGATGTGCAAACTTAATGTTTACAGCCTGTGGAGAATGTGCAGAGAGGCCTTCCCCTTCTGAACAGTCAGGTGAAATTAGCAAGACTCAGGGAGGTTTAGCATCCTTCTGAGAACCCTGAAACCAGCAGGGAAACAGACTCAGGTCCCATCTACTTCATTCACCTCCGCTAACAGCAGTCACAAGCGGCATCAGCAGGCAGGACCTACACCCCCAGGCCTGCTGCTGAGTCTCAGCAACCAGGAGGCTCACACGGACCTAGTCATGTTTCTCTAGCCACTGTAAGGAATAAGCTGAGAATGAAATAGAAGCAAATGGAAATCTCCTTGAATCCAACAGATTCCTGACAAATGACATCCTCCACCTTCCTGGCTAGAGGGAGCAATGAGCTCTAAACTTAAAAGGAACATATTTTTTAGTCCCATTTATTACACAATTAACAACTTAGGTATTTCAATGTGTTAATGTATGTACTGATACTCCAATATGTGAGTAAACAGGTGAAATTCCATTTTTTTACACTGCTAGGATTAAAACAGAATGAAAATATTTTGCTGCTAATCAACATACAGACCTATATTAAATGTGCCTTTACATAGTACATGCTATATACATTATGTGGTAACTATTACACATGCAATTTTCTTAGCCCTTCTTCATGATAAGCAGTTTGAAAACACACTATTAAAGCTGTACAAACAGCTAATACATTTCCAGGGCAGTATTTTAAAAGATTACGCAACAAGAAGTCTATATTAAAGACTGCATTGTTCCTGTTAACTTACCAGGCATAAGTTTAAAATAATCTGGTATTTTTCCAAGATTTAGTACTCTTTGAGAGTATTTTGATATGACATTTTACTGAACACTAAACAAGCAAGAAGTAGTGATGTAATGCCATAAATTTAAAATGTATACTTAAATTGGGTACCTTGAAGAACAACCTTGAGAAAGTCTGTCCCATCTCCAAGTTTCATTAATGGGTAGGAAAGAACAGCTACTCCCTAAAAAGCAGAAAACAAAATCAAATATTGTGAACCAAGACTATATGCCTCTAAGTTACTGAAACACTGATAACAGCTGGAACATTTGTAAGCTAAAAAAGGCAAAATTTAAGTGATATGTTGAGGCATAAGGCAAAAGTCTTAGAAAGATATCCTACAAACTTTCCCTTTCAGCAATCAGCTATAGCACTGCATGGTAACAATTTATCTGCTTTGTAATTTATAATCCATTTTTGTCTGCTTCACCATTTCCTTCGAACAAGGATCCCAGTTCATCCACATCAGGGCCACTTACAGACACAGCCTGTCAAAGCAGGAAAGCCTATATATCCTACAGGTGAACAGGGAGAGGAAACTACACCCACAGGAATAAAAAACATGTTTCCTAGCAGCATTGGTTATTGATGTGTCCATTTGTTCCTTTACAAGACCTAAGGGAGGTTGGATCATTCTCAATCAAATCACCTCACACTCAACTGCTGCCTGCTTCCAAAAAGGGCAGTTTTGTTCCTTTGCTATTCCTAATTGCAATACTCCTGGCATCTCTCTGATACCATAATAAACCAACCCAGAGTGTGAGAGCAGCAGAAAACTGCTGCTCTCCCCATCAATATGGATAGTCTTCTGCCAGTTTATTTCTCATGAACGGACTCAAACACAGGGTCAGACAAGCATCAGAGCTGGAACTGGGAATATACAGCTGGGGAAGCAAAACGTTTTTAGGATGCAGAAAAACACTAGACTAGTTCAGCTCATATTTTTAAATATTTGTGCCAATTTTGAAGGATTCAATCCACCTAAGGTTTTCTATGGAATTAGCTTGCCTTAATTTTTTTCCCTTGTTTTTTTGGCAACAGACTGAAAGCAAGCCTGGGTTAATGCTGATCTCCTGACACATCAGCATCAGGCATGACTAAAGGATTCTCAGAACCACAGACAAAGCAAAACAGGATAAAAAAGAACACCCTTAAGAACTGACACTGCATTTTAAAAAGAATACTTGTTTTAGGCATGAAAAAATACTTCTGCATTTCATGAGTACAGCAGGATGGTACTTCCAATCTGTCTGGGATTACTGTAAAATATAAATGCACACTTGGTAACGATAAAAAAATTAACTGTATCTCAATGTTGGTAGTTGCTACAAATTCCTCTTTTCTAGGATATTGCATTGCTTCATACATGAAAGGAGAATTGCTTTAGAAGTCATTACTCTTAAATCTGATCTTTAACAGGACCGAGGTGCTTATTACTTTTTTTAAAAAATAAATACCACCTGACCTCCCTCCATTTTCAGCACAGCCTTCAGCACAGTCCACAGTTTAGAAACTATGAAAAGAAAACCTCTTATAAAATTTCATTCTGACAACAAAAAAGAAAGGGACAGGACTGAAACTATGACAGCAATAGCAATATGCAACAATGTTCAACAAGGCCATACATTTGCACTGATTAAAGATATGCAACAGATGCACACAAAGACACAGTTGCAGGAATTCACTGACTGAACTAGAATATGGAGGGGCCATGCAAATATAACAGCTATTTCAAAGTAAGCTGAAATTTCTTTAATCAGTTACCTGAATGTATTTGTCGGCATGATCACAGCCTTCTTCCAAATGTTTCAAATCCTTCTTCTGCAAATGGCTTGGCAGTGGAGTCTCAGATTGTCCTTCAGTGATCTTCAACAACTGAACAGGCATAGCTGCTTTATCTACAGAAAAATTATAAACAAGAGTCCTGAAGCAACTCATCTTGTTCAAATTAAGAGCTGCTGAAAGTTGCAGTTTACTCAGGAGAATATTTATCTATTTCATAATAAGAAAGCTCAATTATGTAAGACTAAGAATTTTCAGAGGGTTTGGCCTCATCTCTTAGTCCCACGAAGAGCAAGAAGAGAGAAAGTAATATTTCCTTGGCAATAAGCAGTCATCCAAATTACTTGGTTTTTCAATCATTCCAAAACATCACAAATGGCAACATACTATTACTTTGCATATAAATGCAAAGGGTAATATAAACAATGTTAATATTTCCTGTACAGAAATGCAGATAAAACCAAGCAGAGACTTTGAGTGACTCCTTCCCCAGCATAAGGTCATGGATAATCAGTCTCTGTGTTCGACTGTTTCCCTATAACAAAATTTGGCTGCATCAAAGTAAAACTTCTGTCATTCCAGCTCAGAATGAACAAAAAATGCTTACGTACAGATTTAAAAATTTTCACCAATATATCAAGTAATAAAAAAAAATAACAAAGAAAACAAGATGGGTATCTACAGATGCTAAACATGGAATGCACCGGGAAAAAGCTAAGAAATGCATGACTGTGTTGTCTATTGTTTTTCCCACCATGCTAAAAGTCAAAAATTCTTGGTGACAGTACTTTCAAATGGACACGAAAACTCAGAATTCTATTCAAAACCAGCTTAAAATTTATTTCCATTTCAGTTCAAAAGGGCTTTCTCAGGACTAGGCAGACTGAATTCTTACAAAATATTCAGTTGTAATTAAATGGAATTGGGAAGCCACTGTAAAATGGAAAGAACACTGGTTCATAAGTTATAAACATAAGACAATGCATCTAGGTGCAGTCAGCAATATTAGAGATATTCTTCTAAAACATACCTTATTCTTCAGAAAAAACTAAAAAATCTACCTTACTGTCAGCCCAGCGTCCAAAGATACCAGACTTCACTAATTATGACTATTTCTCTAGTTGTCAATTACTTTCCTTTCACTAAGTCCTGAACACTAAGGTCATGTGTTCTAACTGCTAACCACTGAAGCTCCCAGATTCTTGTTCTCCGAAATTAAAAAACACAGACAGGAGTATCCAGCTCTAAAGGCTATAAAAGTAAATTAAAAAAAAAAACAACTGAGAGAGTACTTGCTTCCCAAATATACGTGAAGCATTATTAGTGCTGTCCTAGGGGTTCATAACATACCTGAAGAGCAACTGAGCTAAAATAAGTTCTCAAATGACTGACTTTAAGACTCTGCTGCTCCAGAAGCCTATAAGTGGCATAAACAGAGCTATTCATAAGGATGAGCAGTTAAAAAACAAAACCAAAAACAATAGAGACTGTGTAAGGGACCTTTAATAAATGTCTGTTTCGACTTTGCCTGGCTTTGAGGACTTGGTGAAGGAGACTGAAAACAGCAACCCAGGGACTGTTTGCCTCAAGGCTTGTTGATTCACACAGTGTCTCCAGTCGCTGAGATAACGAGGCACCACTGTCTGCCACCCAAATCCTACGGCTAACAGAGGTAAAGAGGCACCACCACCTACACCCTTTGGCTGCAGAGCCATCTGCCAGATAATGAACGACATCCCCCTGCAGCGACCCAGACCTCGAGACACCATTGTCCACCACTGTCCCGGACACAGATCAGAGGCTGGGAAATGGTCAACTCCAGGGAACCTGACCAGTCAGTGCCTGGCAGAGCCCT